TCTCTGGGTACATAATTTTATTTTAGCTTAGGGGAGAAAGCCTAAATAAATTCCTCCCAGGACCTGAACATCAGCTTCCAATTTGGCTAAATTTCTGGTCATGTTATCAAATCCTTTCAAATGTCTTATCAGGTTTCAGCTGAGACAAGCAGTAAATGTATATGGCAGTATTAAACAATTCCATTAATTTTTTTTTTTTTTTTTTTGCTGAGGAAGATTTGCCCCAAGCTAACATCTGTTGCTAATCTTCCTCTTTTTGCTGAGGATGATTAGCCCTGAGCTAACATCTGTTGCCAATCTTCCTCTATTTTGTATGTGAGCTGCTGCCACAGCATGGCCACTGCCAGATGAGTGGTGTAGGTCTGTGCCCGGGAACCAAACCCAGGCCACCAAAGTGGAGTGTGCCAAACTTAAGCATTAGGCCACAGGGCTGGCCCAATTCCATTAATTTTTAATTTTAGTTTCCCCTTGGCTGTTTAAGGGAATAACATAGCAGTTTACCAGAAAATCTCTCAGAATCTCATTAAGTGTGGGGGGACCCCCTATGGGCCCTCCTTTGAAGGTAGATATGGGGGTGTAAAGCCATTAACTTAACAGACTTTTGTATAGTCTTTTCCTTTAGGCATCTCTTCTATCTTAATTTTTCATTAGGTTTTTGCAATGAAACTTTCAGTAAGGCTATTTTGGAATTTTGAAGGCTTTGCTTTTAAGTGCACTTTCTAAATGATCTTATCTAATTGGAATATTCCTTCTAATAACATTGTTATTTCTCTGAGGGCTGGCAGTAATTTGGTAGGATCCTAGCTGCAAATAGAGTTTAACCCCCATTTCTGCCCACTCATATCTGGCCACAGATAGAGTACAACCCACCTTTCTGTCTGACTACCTTTTGGGGCCCTGAGCTTGACAGTTACCAAGCCAAGCTCTCAGGACATGAAACATGCTTAGTAAGATTTTGCTATCCTTTGTAAATATTTACAGCTTCTGGGACCATAGTTTTTAAACAGGTGTGCTGGAAGGTGGTATGCTTTATTCTTTAGAAATAAAGATCTTATTTCTGGTCTTAAATCTGTGGTTTCTAAATCTAGTGTGCAAAAAAGATCAGTTTGGGAAGCTCAAAAGAGCCCCAAAGTGGCCACTGTAATTATAGATCATCTTTTGTATTATCAGTCCACTGGGACAAAAATTTATAAAAGGAAAGACTGTAGTTCTTAAATATCAACCCAGCTGGAGTTCCCAAGGGAGGAACTTCTGGGGAAATTTTAGAAGGTGAAATTCCCATGTTAAAGCACAGCCAGACAAAGAGACAAAGAGACACCAGTTGCAAGCACCAGCTTGTTACCTGTGCTTCTGACCCACTGGCTATAGCTGTTTCAATAAATAACACAAAAGAGAGAATTCAAGTACTCACCAGATGGGAACTAAACGCTCAGACAGAAACAGCCATAGCCAGCTCAAAAACAGAGAAACCCTTCCAGACAACAATAGCCATGAGCCATCTTGGAGACAATTGTCTCCTGGTTGATTGACCCCAGACTGAGCTATTGCCCCTAGTATCCCAAAGAAAGGTAAAGACCTCAACGAAAAAGGAGGGAGGTCTGAGCCTGAGAGGTCCCACAATCAGAAGAGTTGGTTGTCTGTGGAAGCAATTGAGCACACAAGGGGGCTCATTTGGCACCAAAGCCATTTCCAGAGGACACCAGTCCTCGAAGGTGAGATCACATCAGATCCCACTTCTGACACCATACGTCAATCTGCAAAAACAGAAATCAGTGTAAGAGGCAAAACATTTATTTGGGATCAAAGAATTGCAATTCAGGGAGCACAGATTCAAACTCAAATAGTGTCCCAATAGGGAGTAAAAGTCAGGGGCTTTTAAAGGCAAAGGAGGGAGGTTGTATTACAAAGAATTTTAAATGGAGTTAGAGGAAAAGAGCTAGTCTTGGCTAAACATTGATTGATTATTGATTCTATCTTCAGAAAGTCCATAATCCTCAGTCTTTGTGATCAGGATGTCCGCTCTCCTGCTGACTTCTCAACAACTGCTTGTAAAACAGTTGCCACTTTGGCCCAGTCCAAAGATTTGGCCCAGTCCAAAGATTTGGTCCAGTCCAATGTTCAAGACAAGGTAGTTTCTCTGGAAAGGCAGCTTTGACTCCATTTAAAAATATCTCTACTATAGTCAACTTTGATACCTCCTTGGGTTCAATTAATTTGCTAGAGTGGCTCGCAGAACTCAGAGAAACATTTTACTTGCTAGACCACAGGTTTATTATAAAAGGATACAACTCAGGAACAGCCAGATGGAAGAGATGTACAGGGCAATGTATGGGGGAAGGGGAGCAGAGCTTCCTTGCCCTCTCCAAGGGCTCCATTGTTCATGAACCCAGAAGCTCTCCAAATCTTGTGCTTTGGGGTTTTTATGGAGGCTTTATTACATAGGCATGATGATTAAATCGTTGGCCTGTGGCAATTGATTCAACTTCCAGCCCCTCTCTCCTCCCCAGAGGTCAGGGTGAGGACTGAAAGTTCTAACCCTCTAATGACATTGTTAGGTGAAAGCACCCATCTTTAGGTGCTTTCCAAAAGTCACCTTGTTAACATAATAAAGGATACCTTTATTATTCTCATCACTTAGGAAATTCCAAGGGTTTTTGGAGCTCTGTGCCAGAAACAGAAATGCTCTTACTCATAAATCACAATATCACACACACACAGCCCCAGCCCCATCTCTGACAATCACCAATCTGTTCTCCATCTCTATAAAATTGTAATTTCAAGAATATAATATAAATGCAGTCATATACTAAGTAACCTTTTGAGACTGGCTTCTTTCACTCAATAGAATTTCCTGGAGATTCATCTGAATTGTTTTGTGTATCAATAGTTCATTCCTTTTTATTGGTGAATAGTGTTCCATAACGTGAATATACCCAGTTTGCTTAACGTTCACCTGTTGACAGACATCTATGCTGTTTCTAGATTTTAGCTATTACAGGTAAAGTTGATATGAACATTCAAGTTAAGGTTTTTGTGTGAACATAAGTTTTCATTTCTCTGGGATAGATGCCCAAGAGTGCAATTGCTGGGTTGTATGATGATTGTATGTTTAGTTTTATAAGAAACTGCCAAACTTTTCAAGAGTAACATTTTACATTCCCACCAGCAATACATCAGTGATGCAGTTTGTCTGCAACCTCACCTGCATTTGTTGTCGTCACTATTTTTTTTTTTTTAGCCATTCTGATAGGTGTGTAGTGATATCTCATTGTGGTTTCAATGTGTATTTCCTTGATGGCTAATGCTATTTAACATCTTTTCATGCACTTATTTGCCAGCTGTATATCCTCTACAGTGACATGTCTATTCTAATCAGCTAGTTTATTTTTTACCATTTAGTTTGGAGAGTTCTTTATATAGTCTAGAAAATTAGCCCTTTGTCAAATATGTGGTTTGCAAATATTTTCTTTCTGTCTGTGGCTTGACTTTTCATCCTCTTCACAGGATCTTTCACAGAGTGAAGATTTTAAATTTTTAGTAAGTCCAATTTATTGATTTTTCCTTTAATGGATTGTGCTTTTGGTGTTAAGCCTAAGAACTTTTTGCCTAACTCCAGGTCCAGAAGATTTTCTTCTATTTTTTTTTTCTAAAAGTTTTATAGTTTTACATTTCAATTTAAGTCCATGATTCATTTTGAGTTAATTTTTGGATAATGTGTGAGATTTAGGTGGGTTCATTTTTTTGCCTATGAGTGTTCATTTAGGTTTATTTTTAAAGCTTAATCCTTACAGCAACCTTTTGAAATGGGTATTATATTACCATCCCGTTTTACAGATGGAGAAACCCAGAGAGATTTGGTAATGTGACCAAGGCCCAGTGGCTGATAAGAGGTGGGAAAAAAGCCACGATTTGAATGCGGGTCTAACTGACTCACACGCTCTTGCATTTAATCCCTGCCTCTACCGGTTCATTCCGTCCCTTTCTCTCTGGAGAGTCTTGCTTCCTGGGCAGATGTTCCAGTTTCCCGCACACATTGCTTCATCTTGACCAACCTTGCCCTCCTCTCAGTACACACGCTACCAGAGGTCGGAGTCTGCCAGAACTTGTCCAGGCGTTCTGTGACATGTTTGCAGAGTGGAGACTAGGGACAGGTTGGGGAACTTCCCTGTATGCAAAAGCTTGTCATTCTGGTTTGGGGAAAGGCTCACATTGGATTTCAGCATCTTCCAGAATATTGCAGAACTGCTCTACCAGCTCACTGGTCTGGGAGTGGCAGGCAGAAAATTTTAGGCTCTCCCAAAACAATCATGCACACACAACATTCTTATAATAATTCCAAGTCCAGAAAATTTCCATCCCCAATCTGCCAAAATAAAATACATTTATAAAGGTCAATAGAAAGGACTCAGAGCATTTTGGGGCAAAATTCCTTTGGCTAGAACATATTTCTTGCACCTTCTGGCGTTTTGGAGTCCTAATTGGACTATACCCACCTCGTTCATTCCCATTCATTCATACCTATTCCCCGTAACAGGTAGAAGCAGGCAGTTGAAAGTGGAGCTTTCCTTTCCAGCTCTTTCTTCTCTACCCACTGGCTGCAGACTTCCTAGCCAGGCAGGATCTAGGAACTTCTGGACTCAGACCACTGGAAAGAAATTAGCAGCCTCTAGGTTGACCTTGCTCTTTCCTAAGTCAGTCCCTAAGCATCATTCCACTTTTAATGAGGGATCTAGGAGTTCTTGGCCTCTGGGACCTTACACTCAAAGGCTGAGACTGAGGAAGGATGCTAAGGTGGGGAGGGGTCTCTTGGGGTTGATTCAGAGGAACGTACCCTCTTCCCAGGTCCAGGTCCCCCATGGCTGCCTGGGGCCTCAGGGCTCAGGTTTGGGTTTTCCCCGCCCTTGCAGGACAGGATCGGCTCCTCCTCACGCGGAAGGAGAGAGAGCCAGCTCGCCTCCCATCTCCACCCTCCCGGGACCTGAGCAGCAGGAAGCGGCTGCTGCCGAGCCTCCCAGGCCGCAGCCCGGGCGCGGGAGTGCGCGGGGTCCGGAGGGGCCGGGCGGCCGCGCAGACCCCATGGCCGCGGACGTGGAGCAGCGGCTGGGCAGCCTCACCGTCTTCACCCGCGACGACTTTGATGGCGACTGGCGCCAAGTGGCCAGCGGCGGCTTCGGCCAGGTGTTCCAGGTGCGGCACAAGCGCTGGCGGACCCAGTATGCCATCAAGTGCTCCCCCTGCCTCCTGCCAGATGCCACCAGGTACCGCCCGCCCCGCCCCTCTCCTTTCACAGAGGAGAAACTGAGGCCCAACGAGCTCCCAGTGGGAGGAGGGAGGAGCAGGCGGGGATTGAGGGTGAGGATTGTCCCCTCAGCGTTTCTAAACTCTACCCAGCGGCCTGAGCTCCCCAGGCACAGCCATGTCAGTTTGTTTCCATACCTGAAATGCAGTTGGCACACCATACCTGTTTGTGGAATCAAAGAGGTCAAAGGGCAGCGGAACTACCCTCCAAAGATGCCTTTGTCCCATCTGACCTCCCACACTAGTCCTGCCTCCTTCCTTCTGGGTGTCAGGGTGTGATGATTGCTCTTGATGGCCCTCTGCCACCCTCCTGCCCACCCCAAACTGTTAGGGCAGGCAAGGGGCTCACCGGGGGGCTGTGACACTTGGTTCAGTGATGCTCAGTGATCTGTGGAGGACCATGTTCTCCCTTTTCATACCCAGCTGGTGCAGGCTGGAGGAGGCTTGGGGGATGGAGACTGCCCAACCTGCTGGCCTGAGAGCCTGTCCAGGCCACCTGCCAGCTCTCACATAGGTCCTGCGGGAAGGTCAAGCCGGGAATACTACAGTCTCTGTCCTCGTTTTGTCTCTGGCTCCTCCCCAACTCTCATCGTACACACTATGGCCACTCCTTGGTATGCCTCCTTTTCTCTCTTGCTACCTCTTTCACTGTTTCTACCCATTTCTGCCATCCCATTGAGATGGGCTCCAGTCTCATTCTCATTGGATTTGCAGGTACTGGCTGTGCACTTGCCCCCTGTGCAGCCAGGAAGGAGACACTTGGGATATGAAGTCTCAGAATGATAACAATGTCCTTCTCCTGAGGCTCCTGGGACATCAACTGGAAGGCCTGGGGTGGCATCTTATTTGGATGTTCTTTGTTGTGTTCTCTATGGTCCGACGCAAGCTCCTAAGACACAGCCTCAGGTCTCACAGTCTCTTGCCTAATTCCCAAACCCCACTTGCTTAATGAATAGGGGCAAAGTGAGCTATCCCCAGACTCACCCGCCTTCCTCCCTCAGCATCCTCCCTTTGGCTTTGGAGTGGAGTCAGGTTATTCTAGGATTTGTCCAAACCGTTTACAGCCTTTGAAGCAAAGAACAAAAGGAGACAGGTGGCATTGACAAGACTACACTGTTAGACATTGACTCCCACCACTTTCCCTTCCCAAGTCCTGGGAATCCCTTGGTGGAAAGGGCTAAGGGATTTAATGGTAATTAGTGCCTGCGCTGTATGGAGTTCTGTACTAGGGTTTTTACATGTATTACTTCCCTGGATGCTCCTTCCATCTCCTTGTTCATTCATCCACTTGATGAATGCCTATTGCTCTCCTGCTGTGTGTCAGGCACTGAGCTAGACCCTGAGATATAATAATGGGTGCAACAGATATGGCCCCGTTCTCCTGGAGCTTACAGCCTGGGAGGAGAAAGACATTAACCAGATAACCACATGTAAGTATAAGTGTGCCACTGTCAGAAGTGCTGAAAAGGAGAGGTTTAGGGTTCTATGAGAGCTTCTTAACAGAGTTTGACTGAGATCAGAAAAGGCTTCCCTGAGGAGGTCACACTTTAGCCGAAATGTGAAGGATGGGTATGAGTTAAGTAGGTGAAGAGGAGAAAGCTTTCCAGGAAGAGGCAATAGAATGTGCAAAGGACCTGTGGCAGGAGGGGCATAGGAAGTAAAGGGGTGCAAAAAAGGCTGTTGTGGCTGGAGTTGAGAAAGAGGGAGCAGTGGAGAGCCACTGAAGGGTTTACAACCAGGTGGGAGTGGTGGTGACGGGGAGGAATTGAGCAGATTTGCAGTATGGAGAATGGGTTGGAAAGGTAGAGTGGATGCTGGTCCAGTTAGGAGATTATTGTCGTCATTCGGGCAAGAGATGATCAGAGTCTAGACTGATGTGTTTGTGATAGAGAGGAAGGAATGGATTACTCAGTATTTAGGAGGTAAAAATCCACTCAACTTGGTGCTGGGTTGTCTATGGGGGCATGATGAGGAAGAGGAGCATCAAGGTTAACTCAGTGTCTGGCTTGCCCAAAGGAACAAAGGATCCACTAGAACATCTATTCCGTGAGAGCAGAGTCTGTGTCTACTTTGTCCACTGCTCTGTCCCCAGTGGCTGGCACACAGTGGGTGTTCCATAAATATTTGTTGAATGCTGCTGTTGACCATTAATAAATGGAACGTGAAAAGAGGCCCAGGTTTGGAGAGGAAGATCATGAGTTCAGTACATGTTGAGTTTAAATAGCCAGGAAGAATTTTGTCAAGAAATTTGCCTTCAGAATAAAGGTGTGAGCTAATCAGATTAAAATGTGTGAGTCACTTGTAATAGGTGGTGATTGAAGCTAGGGCATGGATGACATTCATTCACTCTCAGCACTAAGAGAACAAAACAAAGTCCCCGCCCTCATGGAGCGTCTGATCTAATGGAGGAAGACAGAAAATAAATAAATAAATAGGTAAATGTTTTTATCTATAGCACTTACAACCACCTGACATTTTCTTGATTAAAATACCTAAGGACAGTTGAGTAGTCTGATTTTCCAAGAACGATGTTTGATCTAGAAATATTAATTTGTGGGCCATCTGTATATGGGGGGATAAGAATTGCCAGAGTTGGAGAAATGTTGCTATTTTAGACCTGAGATCTTTACCATTTGAGTAGAGATTTGAAGCAAAGAAGGAGCAGGCCGTTTGACTATTTTACGGAGGAGTATTCTAGGCAGAGGGAACAGCAAGTGCAAAGGTCCTGAGGTAGGAACACGCTTGACATGGTGGAGGAACAGCAAGAGGCTGGTAGGGGAGGAACCGAGTCTGGAAGGAGTGATTAGTAGGAGATGAGATCAGTAAGCTATGCCCAGAGGCAGATCCTGCGGGGCTTTGTAAGCCATTGTAAAAACTGGCTCTTACTGTGAATGAGAAGAGAGCCACTGGAGGGTCCTGGGCAGAGCAGTGACATGCTCCAACTTACATTTTAGAAGTATCACTCTGGCTGCCAGGTTGAGAATAGATGGTGGAGGGGAAGACAGAGAAGCAGAGAGGCCAGCGAGGAGGCCTGGGCCAAGAAGCCAATGGGGAGAGGCGATGAGAAGTGGTCAGCTTCTTGCAGGTAGAGCTGACAGGACATGCTGAGGGAGAGGAAGAGAGGAGTCGAGAATGACATCAAATCTTTGGAGCCTAGAAGAATGGAGGCCCCATTCACTGGGGTGGGAAGCCTGAGGGAGGAGCGGGTTTTAGGAGAGAATCACGAGTTCAGCTTTAGATGTGGTAAGTACCGAATACCCAGTTGGAGACGTTGAGTTGTCTACACACAGAGCGTAGAGTGAGAGGAGGAAAGGAGAGGGCCTAGCACAGAACCCAGTGGTCAAGGGACAGAATAGGAGCCTGCAAAGGGAACAGAGAGGAAGTGACCAGAAAGAAGGGGAGAAATCCTGGAGCATGTTGGCACATGGCTGAGCAAGTGAATATTTCGAGAAAAAAAGAGTGAGAGATCTGACCTGTAAAGCGAGAACTGAAAATTGTGCATAGGCTATAGCAACGTGTCCTTGGTGACCTCAGCAACAGCTGTTCAGTGAAGTATTGAGACCAGAAACTAGATGAAAGGGGCTGGTGGGAGACGAGGAAAAGAGAGAGGCTGTAGGCAGAGCAAACGCTTTCAAGCAGTCAGGGTGTCAAGGGCAATTGTGCAAGTCACTATTGTCCTCATTTTACGGTTAAAAAACTGAGGCCCAGAGAGTTTATTCCCAAGGTTGTGCAGAGAGTAAGTGGTGAAACTGGGATTTGAATCCAGGGCGATGTGACCCCAGATCCCATGCTTTTCCACCTCGTGACAGATGTCTTCTCAGTTCCTGCAAACTCAAGAGGACAAGAGGAGACAGATAAAAGCATCACAGAGGTGGGGGGAGGGCTCTAGCACAGCAGAGAAGTAGAGGTGAGAAGAGAAAAAAGCTGGGCTATATACACGGAATACTACTCAGCCATAAGAAACGACGAAATCCAGCCATTTGTGACAACATGGATGGACATTGAGGGTATAATGCAAAGTGAAATAAGTCAGAGGGAGAAGGCCAAATACCGTATGATTTCCTTCATTAAGTAGTAGATAATAACAACAATAAACAAACACATAGGGACAGAGATTGGAGTGGTGGTTACCAGAGGGGAAGGGGAGAGGGAGGAGGGTGAAAGGGATAATTCGGCACATGTGTGTGGTGATGGGTTGTAATTAGTATTTGGGTGGTGAACATGATGTAGTCCATGCAGAAATAGAAGTACAATGATGTACACCTGAAATTTTTGCAATGTTATAAACCAATGTTACTGCAATAAACAAGGAAAGAATTATAAAAAAAAAAAAAAAGCTGGGCTAGCCCACCCGTCCAGCTGCAAGGGAGCAGGTGGCTTTTCCTGGGAGTCAGGGGTCTCTGGCTGGCTTCCCAGAGTGACCCTGTGAGCACATTTCCAGCAGCCTCTGACTGCAGTGCCAGTGCAGCTTTGCAAGTACTGTGCTTTTAAAAATGTCATTTCTCCTTAATCCTCATCCCCGCCTCCCCAAACAACCTCTGACAATTTGCATATTTACTGTTCTGTGGGCACATACAAGGAAAAGAGCAAGAGCGTTTGCAAATGCTTGTTCTGTAAGACTTTCCCTTAAGTCTTGACTTCTGTTCCATTCAACAAAGATGTATTGCGCTGTGCATGGCAATGTGCTGTGGGGAGTAGAAAGATGAATAATTACAGTTCATCCATAAAGTGGAATACCATGCAGCCAGATAGACCTTGCTCCAGAAGAATGACCATGTAGGGAAGTGCTCAGGCTACACTAATGGGGAAAAGCAGATCACAAAGCAGCCCACACTGCGTGATGGAGAGAGAGGAGGAGAAAGGAGTGGAAAGGAGGGAGAAAAGGAAAGAAGTACCTTGAAAATGTATTGTAGAAGAATATACTAAAATATTAACAGAGGCCAACTCTGGAAGGTTGGGTTACTGATGATTTAATTTTCCTCTTTATAGCTCGCTGCATTCCCTAGATTTTCTACAAGGCATATGTATTACTTTCATAATCAAAATGGCAATAAATGATGTTTTAAAACAGAAGCACGAGGTGTAATATTGTTCCTCCAGGGGCTTGCAATCTGCTGGAGGAGATAAGCATATAAACAAGTGGCCAGAATAAGTGGCAGGTTTTTTGTGGCCACCTCTGTGGAATGGACTTGCTCCTAAATCTGCAGACCACTTTACTTCCTGTCTTGTTGTTTCTGGCCATCCGGATCTTAATCTGTGCATCCTGCTGGGCATCCTTTCATGTCTCTCTTCCCTCTTCCACCATCTTGCAAGCTCCCGAGGCTTCTCTGGGTCCCGACAGCCTGGCATCAAGCCTAGTCTGTGTGTTCTGCTAGTTCCTCTGTAATTAATGAGTCACCTCCTTCCACCTCTGGCCCTCCCCCCCATAGCTCCGATGTGAATTGCCTCATTGAAGAAGCAGCCAAAATGGAAAAGATCAAGTTTCAGCACATCGTGTCCATCTATGGGGTGTGCAAGCAGCCCCTGGGCATCGTGATGGAGTTCATGGCCAGTGGCTCCCTGGAGAAGATGCTGCCCACACACAGCCTCAGCTGGCAGCTCAAGTTCCGCATCATCCACGAGACCAGCCTGGCCATGAATTTCCTCCACAGCATTAAGCCGCCTCTGCTCCACCTGGACCTCAAGCCAGGTAACATTCTCCTGGACAGCAACATGCATGTCAAGGTAAGGGCCCTGGTCAACCCCTCTGTCTCCTTTTCAATCTGGAGTCTCCTCCAGGTGAGCAGGATTATCTACCTGCCTGACTGGCCCATCAGGAGTTTTAAGCAGCTCCCTTCGTGGACAAATACTAAAGGCAGGGATTACACCTGAAACAGACGTGTATGAGCAGTGATGTTTGACACTGGGTATCAGGATACCCACGATAACCCTCTTTGGGCCTCAGTCTTCAATTTCTAATGTGGGTAGAATAATCCCTATCCTTTCCATTCTTTGCTTCGGGTGCGGATGTGTGTAAACAAATGGATTCCTAAGAAAGGCCATGATGGCCATTTTTGCAGTTCCTAAAACACACCACACTGTTTTTCTGCTCCAGGACCTTTGCACATTCTGTTCCTTCTGCCTGGAACAGTGTTCCCCTGCTCCCCTCTTCATCTAGCAAAAGCCTACTCATCATTCAGCTCTTGGCTTAAACATCACCTCCTTGGGGAGGTTTTCCCTGATCCACCCCAACAGGCCCCTGTTGTATGTCCTTATTATACCTGTGTCTCTTCATATTGCTAACCGCAATGGTAGGTCTATAGTCCTTTGTGAAACTATTTCATTAATGACTACACTCCCTATTTGAATAAGTGCTTATGAGAGTAATGGGTGGTGGTGGGGGGTCTCACCTTTCTTATCTGCTGCCTGGTCCTCGGAACCCAGTCTACTTGGTCTCAGTGAATGGTCAATTAGCACATGAATGCAGCAATGGATGGAAGCAAAGAGGGGATAAATATTCCTGGTGTAAGGTCTTCAGGGCCTGTGGAAGTGGGATGAACAGAAGCTCACCAAAGATGGCAACTTTATCCACAGTCCCTCTGGATAATGGCCACACCTACCAAGGACCTACTGTGTGCCAGCACTTACTAAGTGCTTTTTGCATCTTCCCTCATTTAATGCTCCTATTAGCACTATGCGTTAAGTACTCATATTATTTCCATTTTACAGATGAGGAAACTGAGGCTTTGAGAAGTAACTTGTCCAGGGTTATCCAGGTACTATGTGGTAGAGCTGGGAAAGAGCCATGCTCCTAACTGCCTCACTAGACTGGAGAGGTGGATAGCGAGAGGGGTGAGAAACCAAGGCAGTTTTCTGGAGGCAAGACTCTATTGCCCCCTCCCTGCCTCTGGCTTCCTCCCAGATTTCGGACTTTGGCCTGTCCAAGTGGATGGAACAGTCGACCCGGATGCAGTACATCGAGAGGTCGGCTCTGCGGGGCACCCTAAGCTACATCCCCCCTGAGATGTTCCTGGAGAGTAACAAGGTGCCAGGCCCCAAGTATGATGTGTACAGGTGAGAAGAGGCTGGGCTCCGTGCTGCATACCCAGGAGGTAGCATGTTGTCAGTGCCCTGCCTGGACCCCACAGCCCAAAGGGCAGGACGGGACAGGGCTGAGGTCTGGCCCCTCCTTGCCCACGTGGGAGGGGGAAGGTTGGTCTGGCCCCTCCTTGCCCACGTGGGAGGGGGAAGGTTGGAGGGGAACTTCCACTAGAGAGGCTTTGCCTGGGATTGTGTGGGCCGTGGGCCCCCCTGGCTGGGGTGACCATGGGTATCCGAGAAAGTCACTCAGGGAGCACTTCCCCCCATCTGCAGCTTCGGGATTGTCATCTGGGAGCTCCTCACTCAGAAGAAACTGTATTCAGGTAGCAGCAGTGGTGGCACCCTCTGGTGGGGTCCTGGAAGGGGCTGTGGGAGGGCTGAGGGTTCGTGGGAGCAGGCCAGTGGGAGGCTTGTGTCGGGGAACTGTCTTCTCTTCAGGGATTCCCATCTGCACCCTCCCTCCTTCCTCCCTCTACTTCCTAGAGCTCTCATAACAGTAAAAGGAAGGGCAAAGTTCAGCCCAGACCATACTTTCTGGCTCTAACTCCTTTGCTTCTCTTGCCCTTTCCTGCCTCTCCCGCCCCACCCCTGCCACCTAGAAGCCAGGTGAATAGACTGCCAGGGAACGGATAACCCAGCAAAGCTGAAAGTCAAAGCCTGTACCCAGGCCTGTTGGTCAGCCCTGCTGCCTTTGGACAGCAGAGGCCTGCAGGGTGGGGTCATGTCCGGTTTTGGCCTGGGAGGCGGCTGGAGCTGGACCTGAGACTCAGCTGCTCAAATTGGAACCTCAAGTCGACCTGAAATCTAGCTGTTTACTCACCATGCATTTATGGAGCCCCTGCTGTGTGCAACACCCTGTTGGGATCCTCAGAGCCCCTGCCTCCTGCCCAGCCCCTCTGCCCCTCACCCCCAGCACCTGCACAGCCTGGGCCTCCTCTCGCAGGCTTCGGCATGATGACCATCATCATCCGAGTGGCCACAGGCATGCGGCCCTCCCTGCAGCCTGTCTCTGATGAGTGGCCAGGCGAGGCCCAGCAGATGGTGGACCTGATGAAGCGCTGTTGGGACCAGGACCCCAAGAAGAGGCCGTGCTTTCCAGGTTCTCGTCCAGCCTGACTGTCCAGGGACTGGGAAACTGGGCAGGGCCAGGGTGCAGGGGGCCAGGAAAGGGGATGATTGGAGCCCAGGCCACAGCTGAGAGCTCTGCAGAGAGACCTGCCATCACGCTAGGGCAGAATCCGCATCTCAGTGCTGGGAGGTTGGGGGTGGGGCCAGGGGCAGCCAAGGACTGCAGTCTGGTCTCTGGGCTAACGAGTGCCCCTGTGGGAGGTAGCGTGGAAAACTCTGGTTGTCAGAAGCATCTGGGCCTGGTTCTGCTCTGCTGGCTTCTCCAGTTACCCGGGTCCTTTCAGGGCTTTGGTGTCCTCACTTGTAACATGTTCCCAGACCGTGAAGTCATGGGCATGGAGGGACCTGGAAGTTGTCCAGTCCCTTAGAGACTATGAAACACACACCTGTGTGTAAGTGTGAGCATCTTACAGTTCACCTGGCCCTGCCTGCCCACTTGTTTTATGAAAAAGGACTGACACTCAGAGGGTCAGTGACTTGCCAATGTGGCCCCCCTGAGCCAAGGCTGGGACCCAGGTTTCCTGCCTCCTGGTGCCATGTACAGATGCACGTGGGCCCAGGAATGGATTTGGGGGATGTGGGAAATGTATCTAAAATGGCGATGGGACTGCTGGCCAGCCTGTGTTTCTCTTCCTCTCTCTCTGCTCATGGAGCAGACATCACAGTGGAGACAGACATGCTGCTGTCCCTGCTCCAGAGCGCTGTGGCAGACCCAGAGAGCGAGGCTCTGGCCAGGAAGGTGTCCTGCAAGCCGTCTCTGCGCCGGCCCTGGGAGGTGAGTGCGGTGGGCTGGCACAGTCTTTGGCAGGTGCTGAGGATGCATACACAGCTGTGTCCTTCACAAGCCACCTGGCTGAGGGCACAAGTGGGGACTAAGAGCCAGCCCACACTCTGCTGGCCAAGCCAGGGGCCCACTTGGGGACATCTTTTCCTAATTTGCACAAAGGGGCTCCAAGGGCTAGTGGGGGCTGTAGCTCAGAGCCCCTGAGGAGGACATACCTTCTCTCACATGTGTGGGATTAAACAGAGCCCTGTTCTGCAGAGGGAAACCTCTGCTGTCCCCAGCTTTCACCCATGGGCATCAATGGCATCGCTCTGCTGTCCTGTCTATTCTCTAACATGGGAACCAGCCCTGGGTTAGCGAAGGGCTCCCAGCTGAACCCACGGAGCCACCCTGCATTACATGCGGCCCAAGGGGAAGTCAAAGCCCTGGGCCACCTCTTTTTGGCAGGGTCTCCCCTGCTCAGGGTTTTCCTCTGACACAGGAGCAGGGTCTCCTAGGACAGGGTGGGATGTGAGTCCTGACCGGTGACAGGGTGCTGGAGAGAGGGAAGGAGTGGAGGACTGCAAAGACCACAACTGCCCTGCTGACCTGATCTGCCCCTGTGTCTTCCTTCCCAGGTCAGTGAGGAGGTCAGCCAGGAGCTAACAGACAGCGGTGAGTCCAGAATGCCACAGCCACAACCAGGGAATTCGCAGTGGAGGAGAAAGTGGAATCCAACTATACCCTATCCCATCGTCCCTGGCCCCCACCCTCCTCCCCAGGCCTGTCACAAAGCAGGAGTTGGTGTATTGCTTTCCTGGCACCCAGCTCCATGCTCCAGAAATGCACATGCCCTTGGGGGTTCTGGCTCTGCATCCCTTTCTGGTCTGTGTTCTTGCAAAGCCAGACTCCTCCCTTCCCGGCCCAGAGGTGGAGACTGATTTTCAATCCTGGCTGCACATTAGAATTACTTGGGAAACAAAAAAAATACTGATGCCTGAGCCCCATTCTCAACTAATTAAGTCACAATCTCTGGGAGTTTGGCCTGGGCAGTGATTTATTTACTTTTTTTGGTGGAGGGTAATTACTGATGTTTTAAATTCTAATATACCACTGGGTAGAACAAGAGGAAGTGGGTCCTTAATGGCCTCAGGAGAAGTTCAGATCATAGAGCTCCACCACAAATTTATTTTCAGCTTGTATTTACTTTGTGCCAGGCATGCGTCTGAAAGTTCTTGCCTACATAGTTTGTCCTCACAATGGTAGTAAGAGGTGGGCACTGTTCGTGTCCCCTTTATGGATCAGGACCTGGAGGCTCCAACAGGCAGAGTTGGCTAAGGTCACGCGGTGCTAAGAGGTGGAGTCAGAATTTGCACTCAGGCCTCCTTCTGCCTCAGCCTTATGGGAAGAACTGCCAGACTGAGTTCTCTAGGACAATGGAGGCTGTGTAGAGATGTGTAATATCAGGAAAGACATTGCCTTCACTCCTATAGTCTCTGTCCCTGGATGGCACTTCCAGGAGGCAGGGGGATGGCTTAGAGGACCTCTGGATAGGTCAGAGGTCCTTTCTTCAACTCCGTCTTCCTCCCAGGAAGCTCAGGAGACTACTTGAAGCGGGTCCTGCATCTCTCGGACAGTGGGAGCCTGGTCCCAAGCGATGAGGAGCTGCGCATCTACGAGAACAAGGTCACTCCCCTCCACTTCCTGGTGGCGCAGGGCAGCGTGGAGCAGGTGAAGCTGCTGCTGGCCCATGAGGTCGACGTGGACTGCCAGACAGCCTGCGGCTACACGCCCCTCCTCATCGCTGCCCAGGACCAGCAGCCCGACCTCTGCACCCTGCTCCTGGAGCATGGCGCCAGCGCCAACTCGGCGGATGAGGATGGCTGGGCCCCGCTACACTTTGCAGCCCAGAATGGGGACGACCGCACTGCCCGCCTGCTCCTGGACCACGGGGCCCACGTGGATGCCCAGGAGCATGAGGGGTGGACTCCACTCCACCTGGCTGCACAGAACAACTTTGAGAATGTCGCACGGCTTCTGGTCTCCCGTCAAGCTGACCCCAACCTGAGTGAGGCTGAGGGCAAGACCCCCCTCCATGTGGCTGCCTACTTTGGCCACATCAGCCTGGTCAAGCTGCTGACAGGCCAGGGGGCTGTGTTGGATGCTCGGCAGAGAAACCTGAGGACACCACTGCACCTGGCGGTGGAGCGAGGCAAAGTGAGGGCCATCCAACACCTTTTGAAGAGTGGGGCAGCCCCCGATGCCCTTGACCAGAGCGGCTACAGCCCACTGCACATCGCGGCTGCCAGGGGCAAGTACCTTATCTGCAAGATGCTGCTCAGGTATGGGGCCAGCCTCGAGCTGCCAACCCAGCAGGGCTGGACGCCCCTGCATCTAGCAGCCTACAAGGGCCACCTGGAGATCATCCACCTGCTGGCTGAGAGCCACGCAGACTTAGGGGCTCCCGGAGGCATGAACTGGACCCCCCTACATCTGGCTGCCCGCCATGGGGAGGAGGTGGTGGTGTCAGCGCTGCTGCAATGTGGGGCTGACCCCAATGCTGCCGAGCAGTCAGGCTGGACACCCCTCCACCTGGCGGTCCAGAGGGGCGCCTTCCTGAGCGTCAGCAACCTTCTGGAGCACCATGCAGATGTCCATGCTTGCAACAAGGTGGGCTGGACACCTGCCCACTTGGCTGCCCTCAAGGGCAACACGGCCATCCTCAGAGTGCTGGTCAAAGCTGGTGCCCAGCTGGACATCCAGGATGGGATGGGCTGCACACCCCTGCAGCTGGCCCTCCGGAGCCAAAAGCAGGGCATCATCTCCTTCCTTGAGGACAGGGAACCCTCATCAGCCGTTCTGGGCCGTGCTGAGCCTGGAGCCCAGATGGAAGTTTAGATAACCTGGGGTCTCCTTACCTTTAAGGAAGAGAGGTTGGTGGAAGTTCAGCTAGACTTCTGGGGGGGACCCCTTCCCCACCTGTGCTTGTCACCTGCCCCTTCAACCTTGAGAGGAAACTTGGAACCTGGTCTCCTGTGTGATGGAGGGTTGGGAAGGGCACCACTGAGATTGTAGCTGGGGACCGGGCCCTGGCATGGAGGGCTTCTTTCAGCACCTCCTCCAAGTGTGTCTCCAGCAGACCCCTGCCCTCCTTCTCCTGTCCCTGGACTCAGGCCCCCACAGTGAATTCCCTCTTCATTCCCAAGACTCCTGCCACCATTTGCCACTTGCCCCTGAGTTCACAAGGGCCCTTGCGTCCTAGAAAACCCCCTCTGAAGATGAGAGAAGGCAAGGAGGAGAAGGAAGTGCTCCCTCCCAGCTCATATTTGTGGGACTTGGCCCCTGACCTCGAGCTGGGCCAGGAGAGCCAGGCACACGTGCTTTGCTCCAGGGGCAGGAGCTCAAAGTTTGGAGGAAATTGCTGCTCACTGTTTAAAGTCCAGCCAGCCCCCTGTTGCCACACTGACCACACCTTCCTCATGGCTCTGGTCCCAGTGCCTGGGTCTCCCACACAGTCTCTTGGGGATGAAGGAAGGGTGTGTTCCAGCTGCCCATGAGTGATCCATTGTGGGCTGCTCGGTCCCTGGTCCCCCTGCCCCACCATTCACTGTGTCCAGTCACATGGCCAGGCTTCAAACCCCGAAGTTAATAAAGCTGTGGACCTGAGTCTCCTCCTTGGAGATGGACTGACCTGTGGGGCCAGGTCGTATACAGGGGCCAGTAGTGTTAGTAGGGGGTGTGTGTGGTGTGTGTAGCGTGGTGTGGTGTGTGTGTATGATACGTGTGTGTGAGTTCATGTGGGGGGAGGAGGCAGGGGGTGTATGTGGGAGTTGGAGGGGGTGGTGATGGAGAGGTGGTGATGGTGAGTTGGAGGGGGTGGTGATGGAGAGGTGGTGATGGTGAGTTGGAGGGGGTGGTGATGGAGAGGTGGTGATGGAGAGGTGGTGATGGTGAGTTGGAGGGGGTGGTGATGGAGAGGTGGTGATGGTGAGTTTTTGGAGGGGGTGGTGATGGTGAGTTGGAGGGGGTGGTGATGGTGAGAGGTGATGGAGAGGTGGTGATGGTGAGTTGGAGGGGGTGGTGATGGTGAGAGGTGAT